TACCTTAGCATGCACGTGCCTGAACGGGTGCAGAAGCCGAAGGGGCTCCAGGGCTCGGTGCCCGGGGATGCCAGGAGGAGTTCCATGCTCCTTCCTTCGCCTCCTGGCTGGCGAGAGCATCTGCATGTGAATGCCTGGACCCCCGTGCCAGGCGCTGGGCAGGGCGCCAGGCCCCGGCTGCAGCCCCGTGCCAGGTGGGCACCACCGCGGAGCCCGGCTGCACCAGGCAAGCCACTGGACCCATGCCCGTCCTCGGGGTGGCTCGTTAGTCCCCCAAGAGTCAGAGTCCCAAAGCTGTGGGGCGGGCAGGGTCACATCCAGTTCAAGGCAGGATCAGCCCCATCCAAACCAGCCCAGACAAACCCCGTGTGCAACCTCGGAGCTGCACAGCACAGACCCAGGCTTCGCCCCCGTCCCTGCCTCTGGGATACAGGGGGGCTGCACCCGCATCCTGCTGCTGGCGCTGCAGAGAGCCCAGGCCCAGGCCATGCTCCCGCTGCAGAGGAATGCAAAACCCCCCAGCGCAACCAGTCTGAGCAGAGGGGAAATCCCTTCCTGCCCCAGGGCAGTGTCAGAGCGTGGGGGCAAGACCCTCCAGCCAGGACCCTGCGGGGTTGGTGCCGGCAGGAGCATTGGTCCATCACCGCGCCAGGGTGAAGCAGCATCCTCCCCCCGCACGCAGCACCGGGCAGGAGCCAAGGTCCTCCATGCACACCCCAGCACCAGCGAAGGCAGGATCCTCCCGGGTCGGGAGCCCGGGCCTCAGATCCAGAGCCCGGGTTTGGTGCAGACGCCGAGTGGGATCGCCCCAGACAGTGGCAGCCCCAAAGCCCCAGTGCGGGGAAAACCAGGTGCCCGGTGCAAGCACGGGCACGGCCTGGCACGGCAGGGCTGAGGATGGACGGATGCCGGCTGCTCTGCCCCCGCGGCCTCGGCAGCCCCGGGGCACTGCTGCGGACAAAGCCCCCCAAGGGGCGCATGGCCCAGCTGGGGGGCACATGCCTCGTCACCCTGGCAACAGCCTCTGGCTGCCTGCAGATCTGCAGCGCTGCCAGTTCCCTGCTCCGTGCGCTGACAGCCCCGGTCTCGCCGGCTCCGGTGAGAGGCTCGAGGATGAGCCGGTGACGCACGGCGCATGGGGAGGTGGGGGCGATGCGGCCACGCGTGTGCATGCACCTCTGCACGCGTGGGCCGAGCATGCAGCTGTGTGCAGGGAGGGGCGTATGTGCAGCAGGACAGTGCATGCACGTGGGGATGTGTGCAGGGGTGAGGGCACGCACGAGTGTTTGCCAGGGTGCGGCGTGACAGAGGGGGCGTGCAGGCATGCAGGAGGGAGGGAATCCCTGCAGCGTGTGCAGGCATGTGCATGGGCAGCCCAGAGGGCAGGGGGACCCAGGGGCTGGCTGGGGGTGGGCCAGGCCCGGCTGCCCCTCCCCAGGGACCTGGGCTCCTCTGCCCAGGTCTTGCTGGGGGAGGGGGGACGACTTGCTCCGCCCCCTGCATTTAATTACAGCTCTGTACTAATGAGCTGGCAGCTCCTCCAGGGAGGCCGCCCCTTAATTACGCCTTTAATTTGGTGACACTGCAGATTTGCCCAGGGAGGCTGGCTACAGCCCAAACCCCGGCTCCTGCTCACCAGCCACGCACCCGTCCCTGCCCTGCCACGTGCACCCGGGAGCTGCCAGGCACGGGGGGGGGGGGCAGTTCAAAGGGAGGCCCCCCC